CCTCGTGCTGAAAGAGCCGCCCTGTGCGAGTGCACAGTCACCAGCCAGCTTAAGTGTGTATGGGAACAGGAGCTCCTGCCTCTCTTGTGGTGGAAGCAGTAGCTTGGATTTCTTTCTATTTGACCATAGCATCCCATGAATTTCAAGAATTCAAGAAAATGTAACATCTGGCACCTCTGTGTTAATTTCTTTTGGCCCTCTGAAATGAAATAATTCCTTTTATAAATAATTGGGGGAGGAAAGAAGAGACAGGAGGGACACAGGGCGCTGTGCAGCCTCATTCCCCCAGGAGCCTGTAAAGTCGTTAATATAATGCAGAAGAGCTGTGGTTGCATCCATCTTAAATGCCTTCTGGGTTACTCTCACCAACTCCTTTAACCTCCCACCCTCTCCTGTAACTCTCATTCCTTACTCTAAGATAGCTGTGCTTACAGTGTCTCTTCTGGGCAGGCACCATAGCGCCTACTTTGAGATGCACTGATGAAGGCTCTCTAACGAATGTCAATCCAGCCCTTTCAGAAGGCCACATGAAATACACGCCCACCTACTTCTGCTGATGGTCAAACAATATTTTATCCCCTGATCAAGTCGAAGTAAGGCTATGCTAATGCTGATTTTGCTTTAAGGGGGGGGAAAGCTGTATAAGCCTATCTGGATGTGATTATAAATGAATTCTGATCACATTTTCTGCAATGAGATAAATGACTTGGGATTTGAAACCAGATGCTTTTAATTACCAATTTTCTTTGTTACATGAACCTCAGCTCCCCACCTGTACATTGTTCTTTCTTTGGACAGATGTACTGATGCCCCTTTTGCGTGCTCAGATCCATAACACCGAGATAAATTATGATGGGTTCTTGGCTTCCTCCACTGAAAATGTTTTCAGCTGTCAGAGATATCTGTTTCTTGTTATTTGTTTTAGTGCTTTTGAAAGAAAGGCTAAAACACTGACTTGTGCATTCTGTTATAAATGAAGAGTATTCTCCAGTGGCATCCATAGTGAGTGAGTGATGTATGTACTTGGTCCTAAGAACTGTTACAAAAACTGTGTAGGTACTTAGTTCTCCAGAGTACTTCTAGAGAGTAAAAGTTTGTTTCCGACAAAGATTCTAGCAACATGCCAGTTCCTAGTCCATTTATTTATATGAGCTCACAAACTTAAAGATTAATAAAAATTAGACATGAGTACTTATGACACCTAATTGTCTCTCAAAGTAATAAGGATTAGGTACACAAATGTATTTTCCTACCGGGCCTGGATTCTGGCAGTTCCAGGAGATAGCATAACATATTGAAAAGAATCTCCCCCATTACTTTTACTGGATTTGGGGCAATTTCTTAAATCTTATCCCAGAAACAGGCATGCTCCAGAACATTAGCTGCTTGCAAACAACACCATTTACAGCCACAATTTGAGTCTGGTCCCATCTGATGAGCAAGCACCCACTGAAGCCCTTGTGTGCCATCGTCATCGACCAGCAAAGCTGAAGCCAAGAACAATCCCACAGAGCAGAGATGTGGGGTTGTCAGAGGTGCTTTCTCCCACCTCCGCAGCTCACGGAAAGCAGGTGGCGGGCCTGGACCAGATTCTGCTTTGAAATGGAGGCACCTGACAGGGTCCTGGCAATGTATGTAATGGGGCTGAAACGTGGGTAGGAGCTGGCTTACCGTCTCTTATTGGCAAAGCATAGGATGGTAGTTGTACACATACAAACTGAACACACTAGATTTTGTCCTGTGTATTTGTTTTCGACCTTAAAAATATCAGGAATCTCAAACCTGGTGTTCCCTGGTTGAGAAAGAAGGGAGGCTCAGTGTAACCTCATGTTACTTCATGTAAAGAGAAATGAAGGACTAAATTTTTAACAGAGAACTCTTTACATTTGAGTATTTCTGTGGTATTTGAATTAACAGGTGCTAAGAAGCAAGCAAACAAAAATTCTGATGTTTAATCATCCTGATTAAAGTGTCTCTTTTCACTTGTTTTTAAGTCACATTTCTTGTGATTTTTGTACGGGTAAGTGCCTCTTCAGGGGGGTCTGGAACGTGGTTAGAACTGGTTGCAGTTGCTGGTGAGAAGCCCGGGCACAAGAGAGTTGTGTAAGCTCCTGCCTCTAACCTTGATTACTTAATCCTGTATATTAAAGGCTCACAAGACTGGATTCAGAGTTCTCATTAATCATCACCTATGGACATCATAGATGTCTTAATCCTGCTAGTTCTTCATTTACTGCTGTACCAGAAATGACCTAAATTACCACAGGAATATAAAAAAAAAAGTTTCACTTTCCTTTCCATCAGAGACACATCACCTTCCCAATGAAGTTAGTATTTGTCAGTACCCCCAGCTTCTTTAGAGAACATAAGTGCTGTTTGTTATGGGCAACACAAGTGACAGAGGGCCTCACAGTCACATATAGAAGGACCGTGTTCAGATCCTACAAAGTGACCTTGTTAGGTCATTAAGCTAAATTGGTGCAAATCCCTAACTTAGTGCCACCACTCAAACTCACTTACCTTTAGTCATATCAGTTTCATTTAAGCTGATAATTTATCACACTAAATACTCTAAACTGGAATCTACAGAGATAGTTTACAAATGAAACTAATTACATTTTTAGATGACTTAGATAATAACAGCTAAAAAAATAGTAGAAAGCAAGCCAAGTGCAACATTCACCTAAGATTTAATGCTAAAGGCTTTTTTTTCTGTCTTCATTCTGCTACAAATCAAAATAGACTATTTTTGCAATGAGCAAAACAAAACCGAGTTAGACATTATACACGGCACAAGCTACAAGAAATGCTAAAATAAACCTTTGCTACCTGAAATAAAAAATAAATATATTTTTAAACCTGGATCATGACAAGCCAGCTTTCTGGATGCCAAAATATCTCTCAGTCACATACTTTCAGTTTAATTAATATCAATATATGTAAAATTTTTTGGTCTAGCATACGTTTCATACCAGATTTGAAAAAATACTCTCCATACTGTATAAAGCCAGTATAAATACATTTGGTAATGAAGTCAGATTTTGTTAGAACATTTTCAAGTGAATTAGATAATTTTGTCAAACTATTTAAATGTCTTAGCAAACCATTTGGGAAAATTGACTGCTGCACTTGGTATTGACTTTGGCAAAGGATGGTATAACATAGGGCTTTTTTTTAAAAAAAAAGAGAAAGCCTTTAAATCAAATTCTGTATCTTATGTCAAACTTGAGTAGACTATTTATACTCTGCCTCATGTAGTTTTTGGCATCTTGCATATTTGATGACTCAATAATTACACTTCTTGATAGTAATCATTTGGTTCATTCCGTGGCCCTAAACTATGCAATCCAGTCTTGTCATTGTGCTGGTTCACAGTATAGAAATCCTTCGCATTTACTTAAACACGAATGCTGAGACAGCTGACAAATGAGGCAAAACATTCTATATGTGCCAGAGAGCTGGAGCAGTTCATATGAAGAAAGCTGGTGTTAGGTGTTTCTTTCCTATTGTAGACCATATATATTTTGTAGGAGTAATGCCATACTGCTATGGAGTGGCAAAGGGGTAACAGTTCTGTAGTTCAGTGGCTCCAAGCATTAGATTATTAAGTGATTTTGCCCAGTTAAATGGATGAATGCTTCAAACAAAACTGTGCTAAATGAAATTCAAGGGCTATTCGTGCACATTAAGTTTCTATACTTGCAATTAAAATGTTATGTATGGGCTTTATTTTAGCAGTCATTAATATTGTAAGCATAAACAAAGCAGCAAAAGGATCTTGGACTGCATATGACAGTGCTGAATACAGATTATTTTGAGTTTAGAAAACGGTATTTGAGATGCTGAAAAATTCCAAGTAATTATGTCATGAAACTAGAGACCCTGTTTTAAAATAACTATTGAAAAATACATTCCACACTCTGTTTCCTGATGTTTGGTTCATGGTTAGAAATCTGTTATCATCTCACTCTTACATTTTATCATAGGATATTAACTAAGGTGTTTCTGCAAAGACTTTACATGACTTAAGTACATAAGCACTGAGGTAATAAACCAGCACTGTTGTCTCCCCTGAGAAGGAATACCTGTTCCACTGCAACTGTCAACAGCAAAGACAATCCTGCTGCAAACTGGCCTAAGCAAATAATCAAAATGTCTGTAGAAGGAGCTCAGTGAGAAACTCAGTCCACTCAGCACAGTGTTTCTGCTGAAAAGAGAAGTGCTGTACTCCGGAATGGTGTGGGCAGCAAGAAGAATCCATCTGGGAGCTTCAGACCCCTCAAACTGGAAAACTGTTGCCCTCATTCTGGACAAGTCTTTGCTTTCATTTCTTTTTAACAGTACCAAAACGTGAAGTGTCTCAGAAACAAATCCACCTTACTGACAGCCTGTTAAACCCTTCCCATAGTATATCCATCGTTTATTGCATTGTTAGTTGTGATTTTTTGCCTTAACTCCCCCAGGAAGCCCATCCTAGAACCAACTCAAAAAGAAACAGCTGAGCAGAGCACTGGGCAGCAGTGAGAGGAAGGGATCCTGCTCACGTAGTCCCATTCTGCAGGGAAAGAAGAGCTCTGTTGATTACCTTCGCTTTGGACTGTCTGTCTCCGTTCCTCCTGTTTGCACTCACTGCTTCTCTGCTACAGAAAACTTCGTATTCATCAACTTCCATCTGCATCAGCACGCCCAATGCCTCCTGTGGCCATGACTCCGCCACAGGCACGAGTCTGCCAACGGGAAATACAAGGCCAGGAATGTGGATGGCAGGGCAGAGATGGAGAAGGGTTGGGCACAGGCACCTTATGTGACAGGAACGGGAGAAACCTACTCCTATGATGGGCAGACATGCACCGTACATTGAGGGGGGGCACTGGTACCTGCCACTGGCAGTGAAGGAGACACTGGGTATAGAAGCCAAGCTTGCTACAGCATTCATCCTCCAATTAAGAAAAAAATGGAGTAATTAGTTGTGAATTGAATTTTCTTAACCAGATTGTTCTTCAACTACTCCAGGTGTGATTTTCTTTACTGTGCCCTTTCCATGCCACATACACTGCATTCTGCCCTTTGCTTAAAGCACACAGTTAGAAACTTCCTGCATCTTCCTTCCTTTCCTTATATAAAAGAAGGGATGGGTCAGCTGCTGGACTAGGATGGGAAAACTCTACACTCAATTGCTCTATTTGCTAAAGAACCCCAACATATTTTTAGGAAGAAAACTCTCTTAATTCCTCTGCATCCCAAGTTCCCATCAGTAAAGCAAAATCAGAGTCCCCTGTCACCTCCCTGTCCAAAGTGCTGGGATGAATAAGTTCGATGTTTAATTTGCATGAGCCTACGCACCAAAAAAAAAAGTCGGAGCAAAAAGATTAGAGCATAATTTTGTGGCTTACAGGGAATCCTTACTGTTGAGAAGATGTTATGAGATCCTTGAGCAAATGGTGCTTTAGAAATACCAGATACTGTAGCAATGCAATGCAATCCATACTGTAGCAGTGCAATCTACACAATCAGTGTGATAATACACTCTTCCTTGATTAGGATCTTACTGGTTAATGCCTGCTGCTGAGAGATGTATTACAGAAAATCTTACCAGAGACAAAGGAAGTGAGAAAAGCTGCCGCTCTGACACTAAGTCAGTCTTACTATGGCAAACACTGCCTTATTCCTGAGGGAGTTATAGTTGGGGTTTTTACCCTTTGAGAGATCTTTCATTTTAGCTGAGAAAAGTTCTCTGCACTTATCCAAACCTACAAGAAGTCATCAAGGAAGAGCTAAAGAAAAAAAAATAATTAATGCTATGAAGAAATATCTTGGTGTATTTTGTCGAAGACAAGGACAGGGCCCTGAGCAACCTGACGGTAACGTCAAAGTTTGCCCTGCATGGACAACATGACCTTCTGAGGTCCCTTCAAAACTAAATTAGTCTATGATTCTAAAGCAAACAAAATTGCTTAGTTTGGGACAATGTTTTCCATTTGAACAGCATCCATGCAAAGTAAAATAAACAATTAATAATTCATTATGATGCCAGACAGAGGCCAAGCATGTTTCATGCACATACCCTTCCCTGGTGCTCTCCAACGGTGACTGATGGTGATGTGGACTGGAAAGGGTAGAGTCGAGTGGATGGTGTCTTGAAGAGATGTCATGAGGTGGCGGCAATATACCCGGTGAGGGACCGTTATGGTTAGCGCTGGAACCACTGTACATGCCTGTGAACACACAGCATTTTGCAAAATGAAATAAGCATGGAAAGAAGCATCCAAGTAAGTCCTTGAGAGTCCCCAGCTCCTTCCCTATCCCCCACTCAACCCCGAGACACAAAAGCACAGCAGCCCACTGCTGGGGGAGTCATACTGCTGGAAGAGTCACCTATGCAGAGAGCCAGTAGGTTAGTGAATTCTGCTGCGCTCAAACAGCACTCAGAGCTGTATCCAGGTACTCTGACACGTGTGTCTCCCCTCCAGCCCTCTCAGGTGGTCCACTTCTTACTTGCTGTGACTGCAGACCTCTAAGCACTCCTCCTAGCAGCTGGCAGGACTTGGCAGGACCCTCACTCTGCCTTCACCAGGCTTAAACTTTGCCTACAACACACCTTCCAGAGTTTCGGCCCCCTGGGCGTGCCTCCCAGGGAATCTGCACACAGGAGAGGATGGATCAGCCACTGTGTTCTGAAGGCTGTTGGGAGCAGATGAAGTTTGCCAGCTCCCACAGTGTCCAGCTACAGCACAGAAGACCCCACGCGCCCTCTGAGGCCTCGTTTCTCTGCCTTCTCTCCTCCTCCTGTACCATTCACCTTTCCTCTTCCACTCATTGTGTGCAGAGTTACACATTCAGGAAGACAGAGCTGTGTGTCAGCTATGCTTGGACGTGCCCCACTGTCACTGGCAGGGTTCTGGATGGCACTCCTCCCAAACCTCACAGTGACATGGAACAAGCAGAAAGCATCACAGAAATCTGGAGCTGTGGGGAATGTGTGACAGCCCTCTGGGCGAGTAAGACACGGCTGAATGTCAGCATCTGTTTCTGTGCGACCGAAGAGCAGAATCACTACAGCAAGATTCCAGCCACCTTTGTCAGGGACTTCAGATGAGTCAAAAACCTCTCATGAACAATGAGTCCTCAGTTGTTGACAGATCTAAAGCAACAAAAATGAACCACATCATCTCCGTCTCCTGCTAGACAGAGCATTTGTCAACCAGCCAGTGAAACCAACTTGCTTTCTGCACTGAAAGCCAGACAGCAGGGGCTTTAAAAAGTCAGATGTTCCCAGGTGATGCTAGGATTTATTTGTCAGAGCCTCTTCTGATAACAGTAAGTCAGTAGCTAGGATGCTACATGGTGAAAATGTCATTTTTCTACTGGTGGCTTCAGTCCATTTTATAATACAATAGTTTCCACTTCCCCCAAATCCTTACTGTTCAGACATTCCTTGTCAGGCTTGGAAGATGAGCCAAATACCAATTTGACCTTGACTGTACAGTGTCATTTCACACTTCAGCTGTATTTCCTACAACACGTAGTTCAGGTA